TTTGTTTTCGTGTATGCTTCATAGATTGGCACACATACTTGAATATTGTGCATCGCTGTGTGCTAAATTTTGCATCAATTCATGGTATTTTGCTTATTTATCTTCGATTTCTCTTATTTTTTTTCTTTTTTTTTTTATAGATCCTTTTAGCTTTTTGTTCACTTAACAATCCCAGCCGGAGTACAGGTATCAGAGAGATCAGTATTTAATCCCATATACGATTTGAAGAGAATTTTGCCCGAACTGAAACTGTACACTGAAGGAAATAGGAATTCAAATTACTGAATTCATTGTACTTCGGTGATTCTGAAGTAGGAATTCCCAAACTACTTGCATGATCTTTTCACCTCGATACATGTGTAAACTTCGTCAAAGTAAAAGAATATGCTGCTTTAAAAACTATTTTCCTCTGGTTTTTCGCTCTCTTCGTTTCGCTTCCCTGCATTTCCCTTTCTCTTCGTTCAGCTTCTGGCCTCTGTAATCGTTAAAATCTTTATTTTTTTTTTGCCGAAATGATAGATGAAACTTTTGTTGTTTGCATGGCGGCTTCATTTTCCTTATGGAATATTGCTTCTTTTTTTGTGAAATGGTAGTTTTTAAATGGGTTATTGTCTTCGGACATTTTAACATGTTTTCTCAAAATTTTTGAATAGCGTTCTTCCCCATAATCTCCGACAATTGGGACGTACGTAGTGTTTTGGAAAACAGCACAGTTTTTTTTTTTTCCCTTTCCCAAATGTCTTATTTTTCACATGAGATTTAAAAGTCTTCATGGGCTAAGCTTGCAATAAGCGGGCATTTGAGAAGCGCCCGAAAAAAGAAAATTCTCCGGGAGCTAACTTATTTCATTGCAATTTTGTCCTGACTGTGCACTCTGAGCAGCGATTTTTTCTCATATCACATTGCCCCCTCGCTCGGCCCCGTCCTCCAGGCCGCGGCATTTCTATTTTTATCGGATCGCTGTTTTGCCATGCAATAAATCATTGTTTTTTACTCTGCCTGTGCTTACAGGTGTCGTGGGGGGCGACCTTTGTCCCACCACTTCTCAGATGGCGTGAGAAGAAGGAAACCCAAGAAGCTATCTTTTAATTGTTTTTTTTATGATAAAACTGAAAATGCTTTTTTATTTGAAAATTATGGATTAAATAACTTTTGGTGTGCTGAGACTTGCATTTCTGTCTTGAAATGTTATGAATAAAAAAAAAGCAGTATAAATTAAATTTGTCATACTATTCGGAGAGCATTACACAGCACTGAGAACATTTCCTCGTCATTCCGAGTGTCAAAATTTTCTTAAAAAAAGGAAAAAATACTTTTGGGAATTCATCAGCGAGGAATTGCCACTGTTTTTACGTTCAACAGCATCACCTCACGGGGAGGGTTTCATTTTATGCGTTTTTTGCAGCTATGCAATGCAGAAAATGCGTATTGACGATGGGTTGTCTGTATATGTGTCTGTGTGTTCGTCTGTACCAATTTTTCATCTCGAGACCTACAAGAGGTGCAAGGATGAAATTTTGGGAACTTAATCTACATGTGTGTAGGGGTCCCCATCCCCAAAATGAGCACTCTTACCAGCGTGGTACCCACGTACGAGCCCGCCAAAGTTTTCGGGTAAGTCGCTAACTGGGGAATCTGAGAAGCTAAAACACTGGAATTTTATGTTTCCTAACAGTCCTGAAGGCCAGTTTGAAATTCTTTTAGCTAGAAGCATCTGCCGGAAAAATCAGTGCCGTTAGCAACAGAAATCTGCGGGGAGCTGTGCAAAAACGCATCTTCGCACAAGCAGCCCGTGCGTTGGCCAATTATTTTTCCTACCAAACAAGTTATATTACCCAAGTTTGAGAATGCTAGACCGGTCAAAGTTGACCGCTTATATAGGCTTCGCTTTTATAGTCATTTGTCGCTGCTGCCCTAATTTTGCGTTTTTCATTTTACTTTTTTTACGTTGATCAATTGGCGAGCAATTTGGAGCTGTGCTCCAAGGCTGTCGTTGGTGTCATGCACGTCCGCTGGAACAAAGAGCATCAACGGTTTCCAAGACACAATTGTGTAAGGAAGAGGTAGCATCGACTGCCACTGTTGCTGGCCTTCTACATGTTATCAGCTCCTCCAGCAAGAACCGGACCCATTCCATCCTCGCCCCTGTGACGTTTCGTTGTCAATGTATCGCATAATTGGACACAATTTGCTGCGACAGCATGGTCCACTGGCTATTTTTGACGCCGTGGCCGCGGCTGGTGCCACAAGACATCTGCAGTATGATTGCTTCGCGGATCGCCACATTGGTCCTTCGGATATCGAGAAGCAGCTTATGCTCAATTATCTTGGATTCAAAGTTAGTTTTGGCATTAAAAAATTTCGATTTCTGTGAAATTTTTATACATGACGAACCCTAAGGATTTCAAGACCCAAGACGGTTTTCAAATTTCCCGACTTTAGGATTTCTTTCGCCAAAATTAGCAAAATTGCAAGTACTTTCAAGAAAGAAATTTAGCATTCAATTTTTATTTTTTTTCTTTTTTTTTACCTTTTACTTTTTACTTTTTAGTTACAACCTTTTTCATAACCATAAAATATTTAAATTGAAATCATCATATTTTTCGTGCAAAAAAATTTATACTTTTATTGTGCAGTTCTTTTTAAACATTGTGCAGTTTTATTGTGCAGTTCTATTGTGCAGTTCTGAAGCTATGAAAGTTTGATAGCCAGGTGTCAGTAAAAAGCACTAATCTTGTTCGTTTTCATTTTCCTTCTTATCACTATTAAAAAATTTCTTTTACCACCGCTTAGATGCGAAGGGCTCCAGCACATCTAGCAAACTTAACTATGCCTCTATGCGGTCATATTAATATATCTAAACTTTAATATCAACTCTCCTCCTCTTCTGCACTCGTTGTCATGAGAAGCGAGGCACTCTGGAAGTAGGCCAAGTGATAGCAAATGTGAAGAGCTGGAGAAGATGATGAACTGTTTAGAAGCAAGCTGGTGACTCGTTTGATTATATTAGAAAGATGAAATGTTGACAGTATTACGTGTTTCAAGCACATCTTGTAAAATCATAAAAAATATTTCTAAGAATTTCGACATAATGGGCTAAGATACTGCACGTGCCGATGAACAACTATAGAGCAGTCTGTGTTTCATCCTTTAGCCGTAAATACAGAAAGAGTAGTAGGTGTAAGTACAAATTTTGAAATTTATTTTGTCCAAAAAGCAATAAATTAGACTAAACGATGAGTGATAAATTCAGCTATAGACATCGTCGCTTTTGCGACTGAGGCATTTTTTGAATGCGGGAGATTGTTGTAAGTTCTAAACAAAATTTGTATTTAGCTGTTTCTTGTT